GGGCGTAGAAGAGAAGAACAAGGAGCCATTTCCATTTGAATTCTTCTGGGTAATCACAGAGGTGGAAGGAATATTCTATACACTTAAGAAACCATGGAGACGGTGACCATGGGGTGACATTATCTGTAACTCACCAAATCCTGGGCTGTCCTGTGTCCTCCTCAGATATCTTTGTGGTCTGTCACAGAAGAGAGACACAAGACCAAGGTAGCAATTTGGACAGGAGAAAAACACTCAAGTCTAGTGGGACTTGAGTGTCTGACCCCAAATACTTCTAGTTTGCCTTTTAATACTGTAACCATTCTATGCTTTCACATGGCATATACCTCCTAAGAGGTAAGAAGACACTGTCATCTTTTACCCTTGGCCAGCCTTTGCTCTCTGAGGGCTCGTAGCCCAACCCAGTCGCTCTTTCAGATCCGTATTTTCCGGCTAATACCCTCTTCTAACCAATATTCCAACGTTTTCTGCAGGTGCAGTAGAGAGAGTAAAGAAAATCAGAGACTACGCATTTGTGCACTTTAACAAAAGAGAATATGCGGTGGAAGCTATGAAAGCCTTGAATGGGAAGGTAAAGCTGCTGCAAATGCTGATTTTTCAGGGTTTTGTGAAGCTGAAACAAGGCTGCCTAGTTTAATAGCTACAAAAGCATCATGATGGTGGTAGCCTTAATTCCCCTTTGCAGGCTGCTTTTATACTTCCAAATTCATTTTTCAGCAGCTCTGATGTGCACAAACTTTTGATTTTTGGCTTCTTGCTCCTTGCATTTGTGCTAAACATTTGCCCAGCTCAGACTGGAGGAGATCACTCTTCAGAAAAGAATGAAAAGAATTAAAAAAAAAAAAAAAAAAAAAGCAGAGCAAAGCCAAAACAAGGACTAGCAAATGAGAGTTTACATGCTCCCTTGGCTCACGCTCACATCCTTGTTCCACATCTGCGAACCAAAACACTCGCGAGGCAGTGTGTGAATGGCAAACTGGGACAAACAAGGTCAACCCAATCCCCAGACTCAGAAGTGGATTTGCAAGGCGGTTGCTGTATTTAGTAGTTCTTGCACGGCATGTCATTCACGGCACGGTAATGCAAGAGCTGTTCCCAAAGAGGTGTTAGCCCCACTCTTATTTTTAGCGCTACTGGTCTTCTCCATGGAAGCACGTATAATCTCACTGACTTACATGATGCTTTGCAGGGAAGCGAAGCCTTTTAAAGGCTTCACAACTGTGCTAATTTGGTTAAGGAGCCTCTCCTGGCTGGGGTCAGGGCTGAATGCTCTCAGTGCATTAAGCTTTCACCCAGTCCATGCCTTCTTCCACCCCTGGAAGGGAGATTTTGGCTGGTTTTGGGTGCTTTTCCCCACCCTCCCATTCCATTAACAAACCGTGTGGGGAAACTGCCTCCCAAGACAGGAAAATTCCTGCGCACTTCGGGGACTTACGCTTGTGCTCTCTGCCCACGCGCTCTCTCTCTCTCTCCCCACCACCCTGGCATGAAGGTGCTGGATGGGTCCCCGATCGAGGTGACGTTAGCCAAACCAGTTGACAAAGACAGCTACGTCAGATACACCCGGGGCACAGGTGGCAGAGGTACCATGCTGCAAGGAGAGTACACCTACACCTTCGGACACATCTACGACCCTGCCACCGCCTACCTGGGCGCCCCGGTTTTCTATGCACCCCAAGCCTACGCCGCTGTCCCCAACCTCCACTTTCCTGGCACCAAAGGGCTCAGCAACAGGAGCATCATTCGGCCCCCCTCCGTCCGAGGTAACTCCCGTCATGCCAATATTCAGCTCTTAGCCAAAAAGATCTCCTCCAGGGCTTGGGTGGCTGCCCCCTAGGCTCGTGTTGAGGGGCTTGGCTTTGCTTCTATGCACCCCAAGCCTACGCCGCTGTCCCCAACCTCCACTTTCCTGGCACCAAAGGGCTCAGCAACAGGAGCATCATTCGGCCCCCCTCCGTCCGAGGTAACTCCCGTCATGCCAATATTCAGCTCTTAGCCAAAAAGATCTCCTCCAGGGCTTGGGTGGCTGCCCCCTAGGCTCGTGTTGAGGGGCTTGGCTTTGCCCTGGATGCTGGATCCCTTTCAGACAGGGAGGGAAAACACAGCTTTTGGACTCTGTCCTTCCCTGAGGTGTAGCAACCTTCCAGCAGACTAAGCAGGGCATGAAGAAGATAACCATTTTCCCAGAGCAAGCCTGAAAGAGCTTCCAGATTGCCCTCGGTCCAGTGTAAATAAACCACGAATCCTCCTGGTTTCGTCCCAGTAGGGAAGCCCAAATAAACCCATCTTCCTCTTCTCCCCTTCAGAACTAACTCCCTTAACCAGCCACCAGCACAGCCCTGCGATCTTTCGTGTTTGCTC